TCTGTTCCCCTCGGAAGGGAATCACTTACCACGACGACCCTTCTTCTTTTCCTAACTGAGTAACAGGGCACTTCAACTGCTATGTAAAACTGGAATGTCCTGGTTTCAGCTGGGACAGAATTATCTTTCTTACTAGTAGCTGGTATAGAGCTGTGTTTTGGATTTAATATGAGAAGAATGTTGGTAACACACTGATTTTTCAGTTGTTGCTAAGTAGTTCTAACACTAAGTCAAGGACCTTTTCAGCTTCTCATGCTCTACCAACAGAGAAGGCTGGAAATGCACAAGAAGCTGGGAGGGGGGCACAGCCAGGACAGCTGACCCAAACTGGCCAGAGGGATATTCCACACCACATGACATCATGCTCAGTATTATAGACTACGGGAAAGGTGGCCAGGGGCCTCTGCTCAGGGACTGCTGGGCATTGGTCAGTATGTGGTAAGCAGTTGCATTGTGCATCACTTGTTTTGTATATTCTATTAGGATTATTATTACTACTACTATTACTATTTTACCTTGTTTCAATTGTTAAACTGTTCTTATTTCAACAAATATGTTTTTTCACTTTCACTCTTCTGATTCTCTGCCCCATCCCAATGGGCTGTGGTTGGAGCAGCTGTGTGGTGCTCAGTTGCTGGCTGGGGCAAATACTGCATTAAGTCTCAGCCCCACCAGAAAGCAACGTGACTGCAGTATGCTGAGCAGGATCTTCTGAGGACATGAAATAGTAATAGGGCATTTCAACTGCTGTGTAAAACAAGCCAATGTCATATCAGGGCATGACAGAGATACTGAGAATTCAGACATTATCAATGCATGCTTCATAAAACCACAGGGTAGAGAGTCCGCATGAGGAAAAGTGGCTTTTGATTTCAGCTTGAGCAGCACATGTGCTCTGTTTCCAAATGTTACAGTCTAAAGTCTGTTTCATAAGAGCAACTACCATGTACTGATATTCAGCAACTCTGTAGGACCAAAAAAGCTGAGGATTACACCACAGCTATAGTCTTCAAAAAGGAAAAATACATATATATGAGAAGACTTCCTTAAAAACAAAACCATGGAAGTTAAATTATTGAGGGCATTCTGTGAGCTCTTTAGGGACACCATTTTGGAGGTTCAGAGCAAACATGAAAAGCATGAGGTGGCAAGAGAAAAACAAAATCCTGAATGCTCAAAATATTCAATATCTTCAACTGAGATAAACTGCAGAATGATGAAAGGTCTGAAGATAGTTTTACAAAATACTTTGTTTTTACCAAAAGCATATTTTCTTCTGTGGGTAAAGTATATGAATGAAAAATGCTGACCAGCTACTTCAACTAGCTAACAGAGTGTTCCACATCCCTTTCTTTTTTCAGTGTAAAACATTTCTGTTTCTCTTTTTCCATAGTCCAAGATCATTCATGCTGTCCCCCATATTGTAGCTGGACAAACATTTCTTGGTGTGGTTTTTTTAAAGTGGACTATTTCACTGATAAGGTTTTACTGCAGTCCCACAACCAATTTCATAAGCACAGGGAGTGATAGAATAAGAATGGACAGCCAAGTTAGGAAAAAAGGGAAGTTTGGCAAAATTTTCCTCCAAAGCATCACTTAGTTACAAACCAGGTGAAGTTACTGAAGTTCCTAGTTGGAATACCTCACTGGCTCATGGAATTATGTATTATTTGATAATATCTGCTTGCTTTCTCTCAGCTTGTGATTTTAAAATAAGTCAGGAGAGCTTAACAAACAAGGAGAAAAATAATACGTTGGCCACACATTTAAGTATAGTATTAAAAGGGCTCTGGACATGTAACATGTTTATGCACTTATGCATCCTGTTGGATTATGAAATGAAGGCTAAAGAAGGGGAGAACAAGCAAAAGAGATGCATTGGTAAATGAGCAGTATTAAGGAGTCGTCCTGTGTTTGTTCTACACCATTGTTGATCTTGACTCTGAGCTAAGCCAAGCATTGCAAGTGATCCCCGAGAACGTATACCAAAGCATACATTCTTCTGGAGTTTGTTTTTGTAATTAGATTTTGAGATTGCACACTTTCCATTTCAGTAATGTAGACAGCTCTGTGAAAGCTCATCACAAATATATTTCCAGTGAATGGTGAAATACATTTTTAGAAGTCCTCTTTCCTCACCAATTTCCTTACAGAAATAAACATTGGTGCAGGAGCACCACTTTGCAGAAGTCTACAGGAGTGATGCAGTTCATGGACTGTAATGATGTGTTAGAACGAGGGATTCCAGTTTCAGGTGAATGCTCTTCAGTAAAAGCGTCATTTGGCCCTTCATTCCTGGTTCTTTACTTCTCTGCTTTTATAAAACGATATATACAGTGATACTGTGGTTCGCAAATCCTTGTTGGGTGAGATGATTTACTAGGCAGTGCCATTATTCTGTATGATAATGGACACCATTTATGTACAGTTCCACACCTGTATCTGCATTGATTCTTTTGACCTCCTTGAATTACACAGGCCTTTTAACACTGCAAGAGTGGTAGAAAGGCACGCTGCATGGGAGAAGGTAGCCTCAGAGAGTCCCAACATATCTTTTGATTTATGGATGGAACAGAGTCTTTGAGTGATTTGTCAAAAGTGAATTACTGTTTTTGATTGACCACAAGGAGGAAAGCAAGTGAAAAAGGAAAACAAAATTCAAAACCCATTCAAGTTTCCTTCCCTCACTTTTTCCTCTCAGTTTTTTTGCTCCTAGTTTCATCAAGTCAAAAGGACCTTGGATCAGACTTGGAGGAAAACAGTTACTTTTCTTGTGATACAGTGGTAGATAAACAGGAGTTCAAATTAGAAATGTCAAAATACAGCAAATGAAATATTTGCTTTTTGCATTAACTTAATGCTGCTGCTAGAAACAACAGATCTCCAAGCTTGCACTTAGCAAAATTATACCTTATCTTGGCATATGGTAACCAAACTACTTCAGAAAATTAGTTTAGAAGTTTCAGTGTAGTTTATGAAACAGATAAAGGTATTACCACTGATGTTCAGCTCCCTAGTTGGCCTTGCAAAACTGGAGTAGTGCTTTGCTCCAAGTAAACGTCATATCATTTAATTAGGAGAAAACTGTTTGTTGTAATAAACCATTGTTACTGCTGGTAGATAAAGCCCTGAAAAGTAAGCCTGGTTTTAGTTCTTTTGGTTTGTTTGTTTCGGTTGGGGTTTTTTTTTTTTTTTTATTTGCTTGACATCATAGCCAGTCTCTGGAAAGATTCACTTAGAATCATAGAACATCTCAAGTTGGAAGGGACCCATAAGGATCATCGAGTCCAAATCCCTGCTCCTCACAGGACTACCTAAAACTAAACCATACGACTGAGGAGCATCATCCAGATGCTCCTTGAATACTGACAGGTTTGGTGCCATGACCCCTTCCCTGGGGACCCTGTTCCAGTGGCCGACCACCCTTTTGGTGAGGAACCTTCTCCTGATGTCCAGTCTCAACTTCTCCTGACACATGTTGGACCAGATTAAACTGTCAAAGTGAACGGACCCTATGGAACACAGATTTGTTCAGTGTTAATTGTTGAGGCAGATGATTTTGGATATAATGTAAAAAGATATTCACTCAGTAAGTATTATTTTTCTAGAAACCAAAATAAGAATCACAGAAAGGTTTGGATTGAAAGAGACTTTTAAAGATCACCTTCACTAGACCAGGTTGCTCAAAGCCTCATCCAGCCTGGCCTTGAAGATGATGAGGGATGGGGCATCTACAGCTTCTCTGGGCAACTTGTTCCAGTGCCTCACCACCCTCTCTGGGAAGAATTTTTTCCTGATATCTAATCTAAATCTACCTGCTTCCAACTCAAAGCCATTATTTGTTGTCCTGTCACTTTACAGGCCCTTGTAAAAAGGAAGGTGAAGAGAAAGCCGAAATAGTTGATTCATGCTTCCGAGATGCCCATCTCTCATTTCTCATGCAAGTGACTAGTTCCTCTGAATTGCTTCCAACACCTTACACCTCTCCCTTTTTTGCAGATTTCTGTGAAAGGACTGCTACCATTACCAGTGCTACACTTAAAAGACAGTTTATTTTTGTAAGTAAAACAGCATAATTATCTTCCAAATTGTCTTAGAAATGTTACTGATCAAAATAAATTTTATGGTAGCTTCAAACCAGAACAGAATTCACACTGGAATTACCTGCCATGATTTTATTTCTGAGCTGTAAATACACCAAGTGAAAGCACACTGCAAAAGACATTAAGAGCTGGTAGTTTTATTGCTGGCTGAAATTAATACCCTCACTTTGCTCCTTAAAAATAATTAGAATAAGAAATGTATTTGAGAGCGTCCAACTAGTAAAGAGTATTTATTACTTTTTTTTTTTCTTGAAAGAAGAGAATGATCTGTTACTTACATAGCATCCAGATTTGTCCCATTAAAAGCGTGTCCTTGGATACTGGTAAAACCATTATTGTAGAGTTTGCTGCAAGGAAAAAAAAATTTGGTGTATTTTGTGTTGCTTCAATACCTGAATACCAATCATGTATTACGTATCATTTTTCTTGGCAACAGCACATTTATGGATGGGTTAATTTTAATCTCTTGAAGAAGCAGCAATCACAGTAAAAGGTCAAACAAATGCCCAGCAGCATTCCTGAGCGTAGCTGAATCAAGAATACCATGTGGCAGGCATGCTATCTTTTACTTCTTTTCACAGCAAAGATAGAACTAGCCTAAAACAGTTTTTTATAACTTCCCCACCCTCAAACTAAAACCAAGGAAACAAAATTCTCCTAGGACTGCTTAAGGAAGGCTAAAGGAACTAACACCTACTTATTCAGGTCTGTTCAGGTCATAACTCATTACAGTAATTTTCATTCCCCTCAATCCTTTCTTGTGGCTCAAATTGAGGATGACTTGCATAACTGGACTCTCCTGAAATTTGCCACCCATTAGTCCTCATGGTATGTGTCACTTTGGTTGCAAAAACGTTAGACACAGTTCTAACCATGCTGTAGCTTTATAGAAGGAGAACTCTGCACACATTTCCCTTTGATTTTCCCCACTGTAACCATTCACTGGCATTAGGGTCATACAAAAGCAAAACCACTTTGGTCACACCAGTTTAAAGAAAAACAGCAGGCCTGATTCAAATCATTGTCAAAATAAAGGATTTATTCAAACTAGACTATAAATACTACTTGTCTATGGTGTTTCTCTGTTAGAAACCACTAGAATGTAGGACAGCATTTTAATTATTTTTTTTAAACATTTTACCACATGTTTGAGAGAGGCAATTGCTTTGTGATGTAAACTGGAAGAAACTTACAGAGTTAGAGATTCATTACAAAGCCCATGGAAAGCATTTGCAGGCACTGAAGTCATGAAAGGATTATCTGCAATTTCACTGAAAAAAAAGAGACAAAACATCACAATCAAACATCTGTTTAAGAGCTTACTTTTCCTCTCCCTTGATAATGAATAAAAGTGTAGAATAACTTTTTGAGTTATATCTAAGGCCAGAAGATACACGTGGGTTGATTAAGAATCCAGCATTTCCCAGCATCGAGGAAGTGAGCTTGTGAAGTCGATGGGTTTTATAGTCTGGTGAGGTGTGCCAGCCTCTGTAGCTATAGCATTTAACAGCAGAGGTAGGTCCCTTGTCTCATAAGCCAGAGAATTAGCAAAGTAAATAATGCTGCAATGTTAACTGAGCCAGCCCAAGCGACTTTAAGGCTGAGATGCTACTCTAGCTAAGCTCAGCTACAACATCAGCTGATACATTATTCAGGACAGAGGCATTTCACTTGACAGAATGGCATCTAGCACAAGTGAAATAACTTATTATGTGATCTAACCTAATGATTATTCTCAACCCTTGTCCAAATGAGTGTTGCACTATCTGTCATTTCTTAAATACTTTTTTTACTCGCACTCTGCAGTGTTAATAGATACTATGCATCTTCAGACCAAAACTGTGGAGACAAAAGGAAAAAAATTTACTATGTCTAAGCTGGAGAAAGGAGAGAGGAAAAAGCTGGTAGAAACAATGAGCAGACCAAAGTGTCCGATTGCCCTTTTTCTGCTTTATCCTGAATTGTACAAAAGCCTGGAAAGCAAACCATTATATAATTTTTTCTTCAGGTTGTGGGTTACATGGGGTCTAGTAAGGCCAGACCATAATGTCCATGGGCCAAGAAGTCCTAACAACGGTCCATGCGACAGGAACAAATACATTCTCTTTCTGTGCTATATATGTGCTAACACTGAACTGTACCACAACTATTTTCATTCCAAGTAGTTTTCACTCATAGGTGGTTTCCACCACAAGTTATTTTGGTTTGACATTTTTTAGACTAGTTTTCTAAACAAATGTTTACTTTTAAAGTTCCTTGACCTCAAAGGCTGACTGTGATATAATGAATGCTTTTCCCCCAGCTATATGTTTTTCATCATTTAGAAATCTATAATTCTTCAAGAGCAGATTTTTTTTTTTCCTCAACAAGGGAAACAAAAAAGCCAGATTTCATTGAATAGCAATATTTAGAAACACCTCTCTTGAAAGTATAGGTCTACTATTTTAAAGAGCCTTTAGCATGCAAGACCCATGTTTATTTTTGTTAGTAATCTTTATCAAAAAAATTCAAGGTAGAAACAAAATAATGTTTTGCTAACTGCCACTCAGAAAGTCACCGAGTTGCTGGAAGCAAGGACACAGATGGTTGTATAAACTGCTTCTGTTTCATCTAACCCATTTAATCCTTCGTTCTCTCCACTTAGTAAGTATAGTGTTTCATTTACAATCTAGTAGAACTTAATCTAAGGCAAAGCCCTTTTGGTCTTTGAGGAACTCCCTAATAGCACTTAAGATGTGCTATTAGGGAGTGCTATCTTATTAGGGAGTGCTAGGGAGTGTATCCCACTCAGAGCTCTGACTGACTCAGGTTCCAATCAATCTACAGCCAAGGTAAATATAGCAATTCCGAGCTATGGAGCATGAGTTAGCTTAAAGCTTACCTCTATTCTCAGAAGATCCTTAAGAGAGAAGATCTCCTTGCTTACTACAGGTCTATACCCTTTAATAAGACAACCAGTATTTCTGCATTGCTTCAAGGTTTGTCTTGCCAGTGGCAGACGGTGAATGCAGTGGGGACTAACCGTTCTTGACTAAGAACACCCCTTAGCAGCACCAAAACAATGCCTGGGATAGTCCATCAATCACGTTTTGCAAGTCACCTTCTAGCATAATAATTCTCATTTTTAATAGCCTTTTACCTAGCCCAACAAGCAATCAAGCCTTCTCCAGATACAGTATAAAATTTCTAAGACTAAGTACTGATCACAATACTCTCAGCTTGTGTTAACCTGCAAGTCTTCATGTGAACTGCTCTTCCCCCTTCACTAGACTGCAACCCAGATTTTGAATTTAAATTGCACATTAGGGCAAAAATTGATGCCATCTTTACTTTCTGAATACCAAGAAACACCTGGGTTTTTTAAGAGCAGAACACTTTGTTTCTGAAATATCTTTAAGGATAAGAGTGGGAGATCACCCGCTGCCCCCATTTGGGTTCCCATTATCCTTCTCCAAGAAATTATTCTGCAATTTACTTCAAGCCATGTTAAAAAAAAAGGGGGCAAGGGCTATCTTTAAATCAGTTAAAGTAAATGGGTTTTAAGGTGTGAGAAAGGAAGAAGGTCTTAATGTTATGTAGGAGTCCCTCATGTGAACAAACCTAACTAAATTAGCAAAGATTGCTAATAGGAAAATTCTTTCCAGCTGAGAGGACTTTAGTTAATAAGAGATGGCTCCACCTAGGAAGTCTAGCTTAAAAGTAGACAATTGTCAGTCCTGGTGTTTTGGACCTTTAAGTAAAACTACAGATGTGTACTTGAAATGTGGCTCTGTAAGTAAGGTTATTTAGGCAAAATGTGTGTTCAGGGAAGCTTATGCTGCTAATCTAAAAGAACATAGATCTTGTTCAACTATTATGAAAAATGGTGAGGTGGGTAGTCCTCTCTTAAAGACATGCTGTTCCAGCTTGAGCTGACCTCACTAATAAGGCTGTTATCAAACCAATGTGCTCCTGGGTCTAGTGACTTAAAAGCTCTACTTTATTTCCCAGCTTTGGTGATTTGCTTTTCAAGCTCCTTTTCCATTTTCTCTATTAAAACAATTGTATGAAGCAACTTATTTTGGATCAAATAAGTCTTCATCAAATTCTTCCTAAAAATGTGGTATCAGCCAATGCTGAGCTTTTTAAAGATGTAAAAGCTGTCCATTCTGCTCTTGAGTCTTCTGTGCTCAGGGTGGGGTCAGAAGAAAGAAGACAGATGATAGCCAATGGAGGCTATGATTCAAGAGTATAGGAGCTCAGTGAAGAATAGCATCAAAAAATGTGCAATACGAGCTCAACCATGCTAGTACAGGTTTGTTAGAAGAATGTTGGCAAGATGACTTTATGTTGGCAGACAGTATGTCAGATGAGGTCCTGTGTGTCACACTGTTCTGACTTCAGACTAATTCAGGTATTGCACAGCCATTACAAAGCCAAAATAAAAGCAAAAGGCCTGTAGTAGTTGCGTATCCTGTGCCTTGTCTAATTCAAAAGAAATTGTTTGTATGAGAGACATGGACACACAGGTCAAATGTGTGTGCTAGGTGACCTGGCATTTTCCAGATTTGGTACTAATGATCATTTAAATACAGCTTGAGGAAAAGTGCTTTGTCAGACTTATTTGATATTTTTCTCCAAAACAGAAACCTTCACTGTATGTTTTCCTGGGATCCGAGGATGGCAGTATTCTTAAGCAGTTGTGGTGACAGATACTTACAGTAAGAAGTTCACATCAGATGAGTAGATTTTGGTGAGGTCTGGAAATGATTTGAGTCCAGTATTAAAAATACCACTGAAAGAGAGAAGGAACAGAAAGAATTACATGTACTGGATCTCTGAACAATAACAAACAATTCAACAGTGCAGGATGGCTATTTCATCCCCTCTATTGTCAATCAATGAATTTATAATTAAGTGTCCAAAATATAATGATGCAAGAATAATTTTTTAAAAATCAAAATATCAGATTTATGATAAATGATAGAATCCAAAAAATGAGAACACAGAATAAGACAGCTATGCAGATCTGCAGAAGGAAGTAGCCTGGGAGGTGGGTAGGGAGAAAAAAAATTATGTCTGGATTCACTTGAGAGATTAAGGCTGTTTCAGACAATAGTCTCGCCCCAAAATCCTCTTATCTTTCATTGAGGCTAAGAGCTGTTCAAATAGCTCTAAAAAGGGAAACTGTCTTCAAATGTGAATACTGTTAATGCCCTTTATTTCTGGACTCCTGTAGAGTGGAAATAACTTAAGAAAATATAGTTCTCAATTTTTAAAACTGTTCTCCTGAAATGAAACTGTTTTGACTACTTTCTTTTTATTGCTTTCAGAGCTACAGGAAAAATCCTTCCTCCTTGCTGTTACCCCCACCACACATATACAGAGCCCTCTCTAGTCTTCAAAACGTTACTCAGAAGTTATTCTCTTTCCTATGCTATAATTTTAGAGTTGCATGGTTTGGTTACTCTGTGCTTTTCTTTAGAAACTTCTTGGTAATAGAGAGAATTCTTCAGGATTTATTTCTGCCATAGAGGTCCTATTAAATCAGATGTCTATAGATGGGCTTGTCACGTTTAGGTGGCAGTTATGCTTTAAAACCCTGCATAAACCTAGTAAATATAGAAGATGTGTCTATCTCTGTTGTGTCCCTTCTTCTCACTATTCCCTAAAAATACAGTAAAACAGCACTTTTCATAAGAAGAACGCTAGCTGTGGAATTCTGCCAAGGAAACAGTGTATTCCAGGCATTTAATGGATAAGAAGAATGGCAAAGTTACTGATGAATTTGTGAATGTGTTTTCTTGTCTCGCAAAAGCAGTCCAAGTTCCAATTCCTACCATAGCTGGCTTTCTGTCATTAAAATAAAGCAACAGGGAAAAACATTGCAATCAGTTAGAAAATGAAATGCAAAGAATCAAAACTGCTATAAAGAGTCACCTGCGAGGACTAAGTGCCAACTTGTTACAGGTGCTAAATACTTACAGATATTTCAGAAGTGGGAGGTTCTTAAAGGCATCTGGATCTATGTAATCCAAGTTTCTAAGATTTCGAATTTCACTGTAAGAAAGGGAGGAACATTACCACACTGATCACTAATATTTAATTATTTATCCTAACAGAAATCAGCAATGTTTAAATGAAATTTCAGGGACCTAATTCCTGCAATGAGCTGGCCAGCACTAGCTCACAACAGCTGTGCATTCTGAGCAATCTTACCATGATTAATTATCATATGGATAGATAAGGTCCTGGAGACTGGCCAGTTTAAGCAATGCTGGAAGAAGCACCTGAGGTTTAATTATGGATCCTTTGTGTGCATGGTCCTAGAATCAGAGCAATAGCATGTAGTATTGACTATTACTTTGAATATGGTGAGAGTTTTGTGTCTGCAAAGTTGAATAAAAAGAAGAAAAGTTAAGCAAAAATTTCAGTATTGATGTATAATAATCCTATCAATTTACAACGATGTTTTTAGCATATAATTTTATGTCCCTTTTTTGGTTAATTCCTTCATGCCTGTAACAGTATTTTGGATTATTTTTCCTGTCTGTTTTACACAACTCATCAATGGATCCAAAAGATGGCTCAGGTCACTTTAATTCCATTCTGAAACTTGAAATGAACACTGTATATAGCCATGTCCTGCAGTTGAGAGGATAGAGTATCTTTTGCTTTATACTGATGCAAAAAGTAATGTAGACTTCATTCCTTATATCTTCTGTCCACAGATAGGTCTTTAAATACTTCTACCCAGGTGACAGCTTGGTCTGCAGTTGGCTTTTTAGACTGCACATGTTGAAGAATCAGCCTGACACTGATCATGGCTATGCTGGGTGCTTTCTGTAGGTGTGTTGGTGGGGCTGCCACCCCTCCAACTGGAAGCCAGATCATTGCCTGGCATCATGACTCTTCCACATTTTTCTGAATTGTTTTTCTCTGCCCTTAATGCAATTTACCTCAATCTTTCTCATTCCTCTTTTTTTCAGCACATTCCTGCCTTTTCTATCCATAATGAAAGTCAGCAGTCTGGCTGCACCAATCAGACTGTGCCAAAATTCCTTGTCTGGACTCATTAGATTTACCAAAGTTTCATCTTTTATAAAAAAAACCCACCCACACCTGCCCCCATTGCGTGCACACTTTTCCTTTCCTGGCCTCTTCACTGTCTCCAGAAGAGGATAGCCCTTTTCGCATGTTAGCTTCTGTATCTTCAATTAGCTCTGGACACTGCTCTTAGAACTCTCCTAGAAAAACTCAGCCTTTCTTAATATAGAAACTGTACAGGAAGAACAGTGCCAGTCTTCCTCCTGAGCCTATGAGCTTCCTGGCCAGATATTCCTTTGTTGTGGACCAAATATATTCCAGGGAGAGACAGTCTTCAGACATTGCTATTAATAGTATTCTGGGTAAATTATTTGGATGAAGGTATTGAAAGTAAGAATTTAAAATCTGCAGATGGTACTAAAATTGGAAGCACAAAATAATGCAATGAGATCCAATCAGACTTTGATTTATTAAGTAACTGGACCATGAGAGGGCATGTGCTGTTTAACAATGGCAAATGAAAGCTAATTAATCTGGGAATAAAAGATTTTAAATTGCCAGATGAGACAGTTGGCACAGTAATGAGGGAAAACTTAAGTAATGTGAGTGAGGAAATCAATATGACTTAGTTGAACACTGGAGAAAGGTTTATGACCCTGCTGTTCAATTTCCTTGAATTGGTAATGCTGGGATTAGGAAAGAAGTATGCTTTAATATATAATGTATTTATATTTGCATTCCACCCTACACTTTGTATTACAGAGGTTTCTTAAAGCCCAAAAGGGAGAAAAAGGCTCATTATGTTAGACACTACAGAAATCAACACAAGTTCCTTAGAATTCTGTAGTCAAAATAGATGAAAAAAAGGATGAGAGGTATAAAAAGGTAAAAAGTGATAAAAAAAAAAGAGAGAGAAATCCAATTTCCCCATCTTCTAGTCCAGTCAAATGAGCCTCTTGCAGTTGACTGGGTGAATATGTGGCCGCTCATTCCATATGCATGAAAAAGAGGAAGATCTTCAACTTGAGTTCCAGTTATGAACTGTGCTGCTGTCCTTGTTTTACACACTCCAACATCATTAATCTCAGAGTACTGGAAGGAATCTCCCTCTAAAATCACAGATTTAAAGGATATCTATAGTTCCATCAATATGGGAGTCTATGCAGTTAAGACAATAAGGAGAAAATATATTTGAATAGTTCTGTTCTCATCCATTAACAGTATAGTGATACACCTACTGGATTTCACAAGTTCTTTGACATTAATCAGTCATGAGTAATATATAGTCAAAGGTGCCAAAATGTTATATGGTAGTAATTTTCAAATTGTAGTCAAAAGACTGCTGTGGTGTAAGGATTACATCCAAAGGATCCAAAAAACTAAGAAAAGCAAGTTGATTATCACCAGATTCCAGACACAGGGTTTGCACTTTCATTAGTAAGCTTTTATGAATTTGTGTCTTGAAAAGATTGAAAGCCACTGATTTTGAAAGTTCAGGTTCCTTTGAAAAGCAGGTCTAGGAAAACTAGTAGTAGTTTTAGCTGCCTAAAATGCAGGTAAAGCCAAAGAGTTTACTTAAAAATTACGAGTAGGCTAGTTCCCAGGCATCTAAGTGTCTATAAGAGCAGCTTTCAAGTGACTTTTGTAATGGAACTTTGACAGACTCTATACATAAAACTTTATCTTAGCATCGAGTGCTTAAATCCTGCGTCCAACAGCAATGTAACAATTCTGAGTCCTCCTGGGAAGAAAGTGCTTTAAAGATATAGAAAACCCCTAAGAGAGTTAATAGGCATCTTTGTTGACCATTGATGCAGAGAGGCAAAAGGTGTCCTGAACAAGTACTTCACTTTGCAGTCCTAACTACAAATTACTTAGAGTGCTCATAAGAAAGAAGGGTGCTGCTACCTACCCACAAGATAACGGAATTATTTGTGGAATATTTACAAAACTATTCAAAGTTACTTTACAAAATACACAGCTTCTGCTTTATTTCTAAAAGTATATAAAAAATTAAGAATTGGCTTATTTGTGCTTTAAAGACAATGTTTTAAATTTTATTTCTGGCACTCAGACTAATAATTAAAAATGTACTTGGTTCACAATCAAAACACCACCTGAATGCCCATGAACAGCAACTCAGTTTTGCTTTTTAAAGAAAATAATTGGAAAACTTCTAACACATCAAGAACAGATATAAAGAGAAAGTTACTTAATGATATAAAGTCTTGTGTCAAGACTTACAAATAACCATGAACTTATGTTCAGTTACAAAAATAATTAGTTCCAAATCCAAATGAATCTAGAAATGAAACTAATAAGAACTATTCAAATATTAGTTTAATGAGACATAAGTTTCCCAGAAAACTTCTAGAAAGGCTAATAAGCTACTCAACGTCCTATATGAATTTAGTGACATAAATATGTGCATGTTTGTACTTTTTTAAAGTAGCTTCTGCATTTCATCTAGCAGCCATTTCTTTCACACCATCCTTGCATTATTGACACATCTTTGGTTTTGTTGAAGACTAGAATACAGAAATTGCAGATCAAGCCACAGAGTCTAATAAAATAACATTATGCTGAGATGCCTACAAAGATTTAGGATATTCAGGTCGGCAGTTCTGAAATGTTTTAAATCAGCACTTTTATTTTCCTTACAATAACTTCTTAGACTTTGCCTATAGCTTCCTTGGCTTCTCTCACTCGTACATATACTTCCATGTTTTATTCTCCCCCTACAGCCAAATTAACCATGTTATTTCATCTGCATGCACATGTCAAGCCTGGGCACCGGTAGCACCAGAACGCTGGCTCGGGCTCCTGACAGTCCAGTATCTACCTCTAGACTGCAGCTTTTAGCAAGAGTTTTCTGCACAGCACTTGTCCCAGTGCCGTCAAATTTACCACAGGTATACAGCTGTCCTCCCCAGATCTCTCCCTTTCCAGTTGCTTCTCATATATTTCTATCAATCATCTCTCCTTTCAGTCACCTCTCCTTTCTGCAGCACTGTATCCCACGACCTGGCTGTCCAAGAAAAGTGCGGTCCTGGCCCAGAGGCTGGCAGAGGTGCCCCATCCCTTGGCTCCAGCTCACCACAGCTCACTGCAGAGATGGAAAGTGGTCCCCCGCCAGCTCTCCAAATGACGTCACATATACAAGGACAAGCCTCTTGAACCATAACCTTTGGCCCTGTCCCAAATGTTGAGAGGAATTTTCATGTGGTTGTATAAGAGGAAAGAGGTTTTGGAGTGAAAGATCAGAGGAAGAATGAGCAGAGACACAGAGAAAGGGAAAAGAAAGAGTGAATTTTTCTGGGGTTCCTTCCATGGGAACATTTTCCTGAGACACAATAACCTAATTACTAAAGCTTTTTATTCAGTGTAATGCTACCAAGCTGCAGCTCTTACTAGTTAAACCACTACACAGAGACACTGACTGTTAATCAGGCACTTCCACAGTTATTCCTAGAAAAAATAAATACTTAGGCCATTGCATGGGGGAGACAGTCCTGAATTTGTAAAAAATTTGTTTGTCTCACAAACATACTTAAAAAAAGGTAAAGACAGAAAGTATCAAGAAACCATTGTGAGAACAATTTAACACAATTGGAGAAACACCTCTCCCCCCAGAATCTTGGCCCTGATTTTCATCTTTGTAGAGTGGGAATTTTGTCATTAATTAGAACCAAAATTAGATCTGGACTCTTAAAATACAGCAGGTGATCAGTATCCTTAGTTGGCAGCAGTTGCTCAGCACTTGGTAGCATAACTTCATAAAAATATGACCTATGCTTAAAGAGAGCTGGGATCTGGAAGGAACAGAGTCATGACAGGGGCACATGAGCTGAAGAAGGACCAAGAAAATGGAGTGCTGAAGATCAAAGCTGAAGCACACTAACAGGCTTGGCAGACAGGGATGATGATGAATACAGGATGCCTATTCACATGACACTTGACTCAAGCCAAAGCACTTAGTTCCTCCCTTCCACAAACACTAAATTTTCTCGTAAGAAGTTCTTAGGTTTAAAAACATGTTTTTAAAATGAAACTGTGTGTGTAAGTTGAAATTAGGGTAAAAAGATTATTTACATAAAACTGCAATTTATGAAAAGTCTCTGAAAAACAACCTGTGAAAATGAAACTGTGGAATGACTTCTTTTCCAAACCGTAACTTCAACCTCCTTTAAAATACCCTGTGATAATCTTTACCCAGTATTACGTTAGCAGTAATACTTCGAATATACTATGCAAGTGGAGAACATTAAACAGGTGCATAGCAAAACATAGGCATTTATTCCTGAATAATCTTGTTATTTGAAAGGCAAAACAAACCCAACAACAGTGTTAGCAAATCAGAGGAAGCAATTCAGAAAAACAGTCAAACATGAATTGATTTCGTTTACAGCTTATATGAACTGCCTAATTTGCCAGATTCATGGCTATTCTCTGATTAAATAATACATGTGCCTTACTTAAACAGATTTTAAAAACTTGGTAAGCGCTTTTGAGTGGAGAGGTAGCCCTTCTTTTGGGCCTATCTGCAAAGGGGTTTGCCTACAGCTTTTGTGAGTAGAATTCTAGTGTCTTGTCCTGGGTAGTATTTTTGGCTCTTGTGCAGAAAAAATAAGGTGTATCTTGTATGTCTGTGTACACTTTATTTTTTGGTAGTGCCTTGTGAGAAATATAAGAGGTTCCATATTACCTTAATCCTTGTATAGCAGATCAAGAAACTTCCTTCCCTCCATGCTCTCCCTGCAGCTTGTGCTGTGGGTGACTTGACTGTAGGTACCCGTGAGCTCTGCTGACTCCTGCCCAGGCCTGCAGCTTCCCAGTCATGGACAGCACATCCATGACTGGAATCTGGCATTGATATAATAATGTGATGATTTTTGACCTTGCTGGTGTGCCCTGGCCTGACTTCAGGGAAGCCGTAACACTGGCATGCTTATAGCAAGGGGCACTGGTTGTCCTCCCAGGCAGGAATATAAACATGCTTTGGGAGTGGTTAGAGGCTGGAAGAGGGCAAGAGGAAAGGCTTCTACTCATATTCCTCACCAACCCTTTAGTAGAAAGAAATGAAAATCAGACAGTGCTACAGAGCGCTTCACAAGAATGAGTGCTTTGGGAGGCAATGGAAACACCAGACCTCCATTCACCACTCCTTCAGTCACACATTTAAAAGTGTGCATTTTGTGGAAGAGTTCTTTATATTCAAAGTCTTACATTATATTACCCTTTGAAGGAGATCAATTTTGCGTTATGAATTAAGATCCTGAGGGAGATTTTTCTAGTACATTCTCCACTTCGGCTCAAATACAGAAACAACAGAAAACAGCTATCTAGCCAACTAGGTCCTTCTTCCTCAAGCTGTCCTCAAGAAGCCTTTATATCCTTATGATTCATAACAGACAAGATACTACACTTCATATTGCATGGAAGAATCCTGCAATGAAATGCAGTGGCCTAAGAGCTTTTTATCTTTAACTTCTAATAAGGTGAACCACAAAACATGTACTACATGAGAAATTTGTAGTGCATAGTGCCAAATGCTTCATTCACTGTTTATAAAATATGCTGCCAGTAGATGTTTCATTAAATGTTTATTTGTGTTAAACAAGGAATCCTAAAGATACAACAACTGTGAAAGAGGAAAAGAGAACGTGAAGATGACAGGCCTGGAAAAAACATCTAGAAAGGAAGGAATGGCATTATAACCAAAGACAAGTTCTGTTATCATACTAAAGCCTTCCTGTGAAACTCTTTCAGGAACATTACGGTAGCATGTTATTGGACTGAACTAGGTCTCAGGATCCTGGACTCATAGCTCTGCCTTGTCAGGTACTTTTAGGGGAGGCACTTCCACTTTCCAGCATTAGTTGCTCCCTATCTATGCTAACTATAATGATATTATCTATTTTTTATTAACCTTTCTGCTTCATACTGTGTAAAATAAAAGGAAAAAAAATATAGAAAACAGAGCAGTGCTAAGAGATCATCTAGTTCAATCTCTTTCTGTGAGTGATGATTAAATATACCTATGGAGTTTCTGATCACACAGACTTAAAGGCCTCCAGTGATAGGAGCAACCTCCCCAGGAAAAAAATTCTAGTATTTACCTATGCCAGCCATGTGAAAACATTTCCTAGACTCTAACTTGAATCTTTCCTAATCCAATTTCAAGTTATTATTACTTTTGCTTTATCAAACATGAGCGTGGAAAATGGGTTGTACCTTTCACCCCTTGCAGCAACCTTAAAAGACCTATCTGCCTCAGGCATGCTTTCTTTCTGGATGCAAAAGTCTTTCCTCTCCAACAGTGTTTTCTGGATCAGTGATGACTGACAGTGCTTTTCCATGGAAACTCTGCAAACACAAATCTTGTCTGAAATATGCCAAACTGTGACTCGTCTGAGCTTTGCGACACCAGAACACTTTCCATTCCCTCATTTGGATCATTAATGGAAACATGGAAGAGTGCCAGAGGTAGGATGGATCCTATGAAGCTCTGTTCAGTACATTACCATCTCATTTGGACAGGGTACTGCTAAATGACAGGATGTCCCTGGATGCAGGTATCCTTCCTGCTTTTGTAACTGCCCAGTGCATCATTTGGTGAGGACTGATCCAAACAAAAAGGTATAAAAACATTTTGCATAAGCCTTTGTCCATAACATTTCCATTCAATTTAATATCCAGCTAAACACTCTTCATTTCACTAGTGCACTTCCAGAATGTTCCAGCTAGTGCCATTTTCCTCTGTGCTTTGGCTTTCTGATTTTATTTCTGGTGCTTATATTACTGTTTTACACTAACCTTCAGTAATTTCAGAGAGGTAATTCTTAGTTGCCAGTTTATTTCAACTTGCCATCATGCTTATACTGCAGTCCCACATATTTTTCGCTACATTTTTACACTTCTATGGGAGGATACAGAAGAGCAAGGGAAATGAAAAGATGTAGGAAAAGAAAGCACAAGTCAAAAAAGAGACTGACTCCACATTACAGAGAAAGGAAATTATGAAAAGGAATATTTGTCTCTTAAAAAGGAGACAAGGATGACAACTCAAACATCAACACATATGTTATTTCCACACATCCCCAAATTTATCACTGTATTCATTTATTTAACTACAGTACTTACATATGAGTGACTTTACTCAAACTGTTGAAGGAATGGGCCTCCAGTCTCTGAAGTGTTTCATCTATGGAGATGTAGCTAAACACCAGCAACCAGAAAAAGAAACAAGTCTCAGACCTTGACACGCCATGGCTAGTGCTCATCATACCACTCTATTTTCCCTCTCATTCTTTTTCTCATCCAGCTGCCATGACACTGCCAGACAGACAGTATCTGAGGAGGAAGTTTTAACAGGATTTTGACTGATGCCTTAAATGCATGTTATACTGCAGAAATCTGTTCAATAAAAACCACCACAACCATGTTAAGAAGCAGCAAAAGGAAACTTCCATATTTCACATTTCAGAATTGCATTCCTTTCCTTTTCCCCACTTAAGATCACCTTGGAGGGGATCTAGCTCTCAGGTAATATGGCATATTTCTGTATATGGAAGAATTAAAAAGGAATTTAATTATTAATAATAATTTAATAATTTTAATGTTTTGTATAATCTTTATTATTAATAATACTTTAAGTACTATCTTTTGATACTTCTGATCAAAGTTACTGACTCAGCTTTTAATATTTTGCATGGTTACACATATTCTGAGCAACTGGTTAATTATTTTAAATGCACAAAATCAAATTGGCAAGAAGAGTCTTAGGTGTCAGTTTTAGATGCCAAAATCAAGTAAAATATAATAATAAAGGACTGTATCATATGCCTTTCCTCCTTTTTAATCAGTACACCTAGAATCATACTTAAAAGATATCCAACTGGTTTTCTACATCAGTTCTAATAAGGTTGTGTTCCTTAAAACAGGGAAGATTTTAAACAGTCTTGCCATTTTTTCCAATGACAGTATTAAGAGTAATAATAGTAACACCAAATTAAAAGATAATAATTTAACACAGGAGGGCTTTTTAATGAATTATGAATCCAATTTTTTGTGTGGAATTTCAAAGAAGATAAATCTTTATTTTTTTCAGTGGATATTAAAAAGTACTTAAAATGTTTTTTTAAAAACTGGAAAGAATACTTTGTGACGACCACACGCTCTACCAACCAGCAGATGACTAATACCACTAACTGTTCCAAGGGAATTTATGTTCTCTGCAGATTGGAGCTAAAAGCATATTACCTGAACTAATTTTAACTCTTCTAACATGAGAGATACTTTTTATTGGTCGCTTTGGAGATGTATTCAACCGTGCTTGAAAAGATACCAGAAAAGTAACTATTAGAGATTGTATGACCAACAGATTCTCTTTCTACAGTAACACTGCTTTTACAAAGCTATTTTCCTCATCCAAAAGGAAAGAAGATAATAAAAGAGGAATACAACAAAGAAAGTATTTCCAGTCTGTACCTCTGTGATTGAGCATTGCAGAGTTAGGTATTTATGTGAGATGCTTTAATTTTGTTTTCCTGTAGGCAATGAATGTCTATTGCCCAGGAAATTGGAGTTTCAGTCTTAAAAGAAAATTAATTATTCCATTTTAATAGGACCTACATTTTAACAAACCAAAAGATAGGTTACATCAATGACACATTAAAAAAAAGTTTTCTATGTACACTATATATACACACACTACATATATTATATATTTTATATATTTTATATACCTATATTTAGATATAAGAAAGGATTTCTTCCCAGAGAGGGTGGTGAGGCACTGGAACAGGTTGCCCAGAGAAGGTGTGGATGCCCCATCCCT